TTAATCAATCTTTTAAATGATTTTAAATGCTTTTACGGGGGGAGGGGGGGGAGGGGAATACAAGTACAAAACATGAAGTTATAGAATCAATCACATGTGATTTATAACTGTGTTTTCAACCAACTGATTTCACATGCTTCAAAATGTGTTCAATACAATGGTTTTCAGTTATTTTATACTTTGTTATCAAATGATATACTTTTGAATCTTTTTATAAACTGACAGCAAGTCATTATTATTTATTGTTCAAAACTCTGAAATGTATTTCAAAACCTCTTTCAACTTATTGTTAAAAACCATATCTATACACTTATGTTTCATATACATATGTATTGATATGGGAGCTTTCATTCATTATTCAGTTCCAACACTCTTGAGTAGCAAGGGTGTATAAACCTACTTGGACATTCAATTTACATTCCAGTAAACTATTATAGGTATAGTTTAGGGGATACAAACTACTATTCCTATTACAAGGAATTAGACAAGAGTCAGTTCATTCATGAATCTATACTAATACATTACATGCAATATGAAGAGATACTATTACATGGATTCCATTACATGGATACTTTTACATGGATTATGTTACATAAATACTATATGATGAGATACTATTACATATTATATGTGTAGATACTATTATATATGTACGGGACTAACCATTCTACATCCAGCTGTTAGCTACAGAGGGAAAATGCACATCGACGGATGTCTACGGTTAATACTATTCGGCAATTACTATGCCGTGTTTATCCTAGTACCAAAGGATAATACTTAAATGATTATATAATTTCCCTTTTACTTTTATTTTGTGACACATTCACATAAACGATGAGGTAGACGATATATTTATAATAATAGTCGTACATGGGAAAAACTTTCATTTATACAGAAATGCAACCTTCAAGCAGTCGGGTCTTGGTAGAAGACTACTTTTTATACTAGTAGGAAATATGGGATTTTCTAGGGTTTTCACACTTATACTAAATGTTTCTTCAAATATTTACAAGTCTTTCATAACAGCTTTTCAAATCAATGGCACCATAATACTTATGAATTCACCAGCTTTATGCTGATCTACACTTTCAAAATAACTTATATTCTCAGGTCACCAGTAGACAGGTACGATGACCAAGTTTTGAGAAGATGGAGCACAGACAAGACTCGTCTTTTATTTTGGTTACATATTTTGGTGTCTTATTACTATGAAAGAACACTCATGTATTAAAACTTTACTTTTAATGCAATGGACGATGTTGTTGCTTGTTTACTACTTTGCACTGTTATGATACTTTACATGACGTCCTCCACCCCTGATCGTTTCCGCCGTTCCGGTTTTGGGGTGTGACAGAGTTCCCCAAAATACCACATATAACACATATTAGCCACTCGAGGCTGTAACTCTGTGGACCCTCCGGTCCTAACTCTGTGGACCCTCTGGTCCTAACTTTGTGAACCTTCCGATTCTAACTCTGTAAACTCTGGAACATACACGACATGAATCACATGGAAATAATGCAATGTATCACAATCACATAAATAGCATACAAGATACTCTGTCACATAACTCTAATTACCACTCTAGGTAAAGTATAGTGAGAAGACTCACGTCGGGTAACTCGGTAAATCTCGAGCTCGGTAAAATCTGGTCTAGCCCCCGCCTAATCACATTGAATAAGCACTCTAATCAATACAACCCTCAAGGCTAGACTAATCCCTCTCTTAGTACTCTTAGAAGGGTAAAAGACCATTTTACCCCTCTCATGGCTCAAAGACCCTAACATTGACCACACACTAAAAGTCAACAAAAGTCAACGGTCAAACTTTGACCAGACTCGTTGAGTGCACTCGTGTGACTCGGCGAGTACATGCATGTCCTCTTCGCCCCTGGTCCTCACTCGACTCGCTGAGTCAACCCTACACTCAACGGGTTATCACAGGTCGCGAATCGCGGGGCAACCCGACTCGACTCGTCGAGTCCCTTATGGGCTCGGCGAGTTTCTCCCATGAAAACACTCAAACGATCTTTTGAGGCCAGATCTGCTTCACCAACCAGTAGATCCAACCTTCTAACACTCGAAAGTCACGTAAAGGTTCAAACTTTACGTTCATGCAATGCTTATAAGACCAAAAATGGAGAAATAACCTTTAAAATGGGGTTTTACTCTCAAGGCTCACATGAAACCTCATAAAGCTGGAAGCTTGGGACCTTTTGGACCTCTCAAGGTCCAGATCTATCATCTATACCCAAAGGGACCTCATATGCTTCATAATCTAACTCAAAATTGTGCAAAGGAAACCCTAGATTCAAGGAATCTATCAAATACACGAAATGGGAAGGAACTTGTACCTCAAAACGTGAATCTCAGTGTGAACAACACAGATCCGAGCTCCACAACCGATCTAGCTTGGATTTTCTCACTCCTTCTTGCAAGATCACACCAAAGGATGAAGAATTAGCCTCCAAAATGCTTTCTAAGCTCTCTTTTCTCTCTAGGGTTTTCATAGGGGAGTAGTGGCCGCAAATGACAGCCATAAGGGCCTTTAAATAGGGCTCAGGCCCTGAGATTTAGGGTTTCACTTTACAGCGCGGACTCGCCGAGTCCACGCATCGACTTGTCGAGTCCGATCATTAATCCAAACAAGAATTCGCGATCCTACTCGGCGAGTCTGAGCGCCTACTCGCCGAGTCCCTCCCTAAAAGTCAAGATAAATACTTAAAATAAGATACCTGGAAATCCGGATGTTACATTCAGACAAATAGATTAATCGACTGAAGTTACGCATGCATCCAACACAACGCGACAAGAGAAAGAACCTGCAAGAATCCACAGAGAACTCACAGTACCAGGATCTTAAAAAAAAAACTTATTCTGAAACGATCAACCAGAAAAGCAACAGTTTATGTACAAGATCTAGATGTTTCATGAACTATTCTCTAGATAAAAAACAAAACTGTGAAAGAAAAGAAAAGGAGTTAGAAACAACCTTTTATGATGACGTTCTGCGAAGAATAAACTCGCCGATGAACATCAAGAAGAAGAAAACGAAGCCTGAAGCTCTGATACCATGTCAAGAAAGTAAAAACATCAAACAATTCCCAACTTGAACAATTTATTCACTATAAACCAGTTCGATCAAACATGTACTTACATCAGAAAACTCTCTACATATACACTCACACTCAAATGGTTATATAAACCTCAAACAGTTTCTATACAAGAAGATCTTCTTGTTTACACAGAGAAACCCTAAATTGAGAGAAACCCTAATACGAGAGAAGAGAGAGTGAATAAAGAGGAAAAATATCTATCTACTTCACAAATGAGACAGTACAACACTTTAAATATCTCGGATACGCAGCTCCATGGAGCAACCCATAAACCCGCGCATTAACCCGGAAACCTGCATAAGAATTTCAGAATACACCCAACACAAATACAAAATATACACAAGATACCCTTTTGAGAATTAATGTAATGTTTGATACCAGGAAGATATATTATTTCAACAGTTTTAAATAAATTAAATAATAAATTGTCGACAAAGAAATATATGCCATTCATTTGGGGAGATTGATTCTTTGTAAATCGGTCCTAGGAAGTATGAGATCCTACATGTTCTTCCTTAACAAATCCATATCAATGTTCTTAAAAAAAATCAGATGTAATTTCTTTTAGGTTGGTAACATGGAAAATATAAAATGGCTTAATTGCATGGATAAAAGTCTTAAAATTCGAAAGAAATGGGAGGGATGGGAAATGGAAGCCTTCAAGCTATCAATCTACCTTTCCTTTCTAAATGGTGTTGAATATTAAAACATGAAGACACGTCCCTTTGGGCTGCCTTTATTAAAGCCCTGCATGTGCATGGGCCATAAGTGAGCCTTAGGCTGACCCGTTCAAATGCGAAAATTACCAAAACTTGAGTAACGATTAGTCAGATTAATATTGCAATTAATACTGACCTTCGAAGCATATTATTTAGGATCGACATGGGCTCCAAATGGGAGTGCGAAAATTACGGAAAATCACTATTGCTTCAATACGGAATTCGTGGACTCCAACATTTTGGATATCACAAACTTGGATATGTATTGAAACAAAATAGCCCTGGAAAGCCAATGTAATTTTTTTGGAGAGCTCGTTTAATTTATGTTGTCTTCCAACTAGACCTAACTTACAAAACGGTGGTATTTCTATTACTTCAATTTTGTTTGCCCCATATGTCATTCCAAAGAAGAATCAGAAAAGCACAATTTTCTTAAATGTTCAATGGGAAAAAAAGTTCCAAGTCTTTTACACAAGTGGTGGAGAGATATTCCAGTAATACAAACTCCCTAGAAGACCTACTAGAAACTATCAAGATGTTTGTGGAAAAGGAAAGTAGAAAACGATCAAGAGCTGAGTAGCTGACATTAATATACACTCTTTGGGCGTATTGAAATAACACAGTTTTTAATGGCAAGGTAAAAAGTGGTTGAGTTATAAGAGCTAAAAGTACAGATTGGGAAGTTTGGTTCTGGTACAATCTTATGTATAACTTTGTTGTTCAAATTAAAAGAGGATTCTTTTGTAAGTCTGTTTAATTATAATGACGTTTAGATCATGTATTTGAGTTTTCCTTCAATGTATTTATCTTTCACATTGACGTTTCTCACAGCCATACCTTGCTCTCTATTGGTGATTATTGGGTTTAATGACAATGTCGTTCATCGTATATTTATTTTATTTTCAACATTAATACCATCCTTTTATGTATTAAAAACACATTCATCAAATTTGATACCTTTAATTTTGTGGTCCTGCATCACTGCATGTATTCATCTACCATATATATAGTTTCAAGAATCTTGAGAGTAGATAAACCATAGCTCGAAGCAGTTAAAAAGCTCTTGCTCAAACCTACATTGTTATTAATAAACTTATTGACTACATGAAACACAATAATTATGTTGATGCTTCAACCAGAGATATGGTCGAGTATCGCCATTTATTCATCCTTATTTCAATTAAAAAATGAGCTTATATATGGCTGTTTTATGTTTAGAACACAACAGTTGATATAATATCATCGCTATAATTATCTTATACCCACTCCTTGGGACAAAGTCATTCATCCGAAGAATAGTCTTGCAGTTCGTGAAAAGTGTCCGGAGAAGCCAACCGAGTAAGATTAACATAATCTTGAGGACAATGAGCCGATGCTCCTGGAACAATCAAACCAAATAATCGAACTCCCAAAAGAAGGATCCCTTCTCTATAATTTTCTCCAAAAGCATATGGCAATACAAAACTTCTTGCCAGTTCAAGAACCGCATTCAAATACATTGGTACGAATGATTTGATCGCAAAGTAGTTCTTATTGGGTACTTCGTTCACAACCTACAAAAAACTTTTCCGATAAAGCCCATAGATTGCTTCAATTGCAAAAGAATTGAAAATTAACGTTATAAAAGACACAGTACCTTCCCTTTGTACAAGATATTGAAGTAATAACAGTATCCAAAGTGTTTGAACAGAAGATCGGAATCATCGAAGGGAATTCTGGGTACCACGTCATTTGCATAAACAAACCGAAAGTATCTCTTTACACCCAACAAGTCTTCCATCGACCTACAGAACTGTTCGTCTCCAACCCTTGGTTGTCCGAATGTGTATACACCTTCGAGCTTCTCCAGCAACTCGAACTCTTCATGGAACGCTAATATTGCTGGAAACAAAACCGCAAGTGCTCCTCCCAAACTATGGCCTGTGACCATAAACCGAGCATTCTTGTTTTCATCAAGTTTTTGTTTAAGAACTTTCTTGATTTGGTAGTAAGCAAAGATGTTTTTTCCAAGTTTATCTTCTTCGATATCTTTAGGCAACGAGGCACACCGTTTGTGTTTCTTTTGTAACCCTAGGGCCTTCAAGAAACCCATGTGAACTTTACCTATGTCACCAAGAAGGTACCATGAGAGATCAAGATCCGTGCACCAATCATCTGCGCTAAATGGAGATGTCCCTCGAAAGGACACACAGATTAATTCATAATCCCGGGTGTGATCGCTAAAAATAAACGCTTGTGTTGGGTGTCTCTTCTCGCTCAGCTCTTTTGATTCGAATGCTACAAATATATGTTGTTTTGAAATCAGCATCTATAATGTGAGAAATATATGGGCGATGGTTGCTTCTTACCATTTGAACAGTTGAAAAACCCTAAAGGTTTCATCTGTAGAAAGAAAGATTTAGAAATTTAGTTCGATCGAATTCTTTGAAATAATCGTCTCATATCAGTTAATTATGAATTTGAAGAACCTTCCAATGATCCTGGACAATTTTCTCCACTCGAGCTTCGTTCTCGTATGCAGTTTTAGCAGCCATGATCGCGAGTGCAGAATTATATCTTGGATCTTCATGAGAGATTTCAGGATCCAACTCCAATCGTGTATCTGTTAAGCCGATTACAGATGAGAAATCTGGTGACTCTCGGCATACCCGGGTTTTTCCTTTAAAGTTTTAAAATTTTATATGAATATATAATATATATACACACACAAACACATAAAAACAATTAAAAGGAATAAATGAAAATGAACCTCGTATTTTCATGACGATAAGCATGCAGAAGCTATCATACTCCGCCCAGAGGTTGAGGGTAGCCTCGATGAACCTCCCAAAACACGCCATGAACATGGAGATTGATTTCAGAACTATAATGACGACAATGGTGATGAAGATCACAAACCTACGGAGGAATGTTCCATGTAAGTTGACATCGTCATGGGAGTCTATGAATGGTCTTGCTCCAATGTGTTCATCGAGTAGAAGCAAAAATAGTTCCGGAATTTTAACCTCGTCCAGATTCAATAGCATGTATTCTTCACAGTCGGTCATGGTTATTTCTTTAGAGCAAACTCCGTTCTTTTGTTCTTTTAAGGTGAGCAATAAGAAGACAACAACCGGGAGGATGATGGATTAATGTCCTCGTTTAGGTACTTCTATAAAAGGAGACAAGCTAACTTCAAACTTAATTACTCTTTCGACACTTATTCTCCACAAAAGCTAACTTTGGTAATCTTAATCAGTCCTATTAAATATGGGGTGTACGTTTGCATGTAGAAATCTCATTGTAAATATCATTTATTTTAATTAATGTCAGATTATGAATCTATAAATTTCAGAAATACATAGTTATTGGTAATTAGTAGGGATAGCGCGTTGTTTACTGATATGAAATACACAAGAAAGTGGGAGGGTTGTGGTAGATATTCTTGGCTACTTTTGGAAGGAAAATAAAGAACAATGTCATGTTTCACCTGTAAATGTGTTGTGCATGGAAATGAGGATCTCATTCTTTACTTAGAACTAAGTCATATTGTTCACACCTCTTTGCTTCCTTTATACCCTAAAAGATTAAGAGTTAATTATGTTGAATGAGCTTATTTGTTAATTTACATCAAAGGGGTCATTTTACATGAAATTAAAATATATTTTAAAGACCGCATAATTTTGA